TTTTGTTGACCGGCACTCCGTTTGGGGGTGCGGCGGTCTCTCATTCCACACTGGCGACCACGGCGTCGCAGAGGGGCGCGGGGCGGCGCCTCCCCACATCACCATGCTGTGCTGAAGCCCCAGCAGCGGGACGACTGGTCGCGACGGCATGTGTTTTGGCGGGCCCTCCACTGAGCCCCGCCACCAGCGCAAACGACACGTCGTTGGAGGGACCGGCCAACGGGCTGAGAGTGCCCGGCCACATGCGCTGAATTTACCCACACGGCGTTTTTGTTTGTGCGACCGAAATACGGCGCGGCGGGTGGGCTGGCACGTGGTCGGGGTCTTTTGGGACCGAAGGGGGGAGCCGTTGGGTCGGGTGGCCCAAGATACCCTCGAGGGGCTGCAGTCGCAAAAGTCTCCCCGTCCAATGAGTGAACGCAAGGTTGACAACCTCTTTTCTTGCGGATGCCGGCGAATCTCTTAGTGGAAGCATCTTTGTGGGTTAACGCCTCTATCCCGTTTGTTTCCGGGTCGTTGCGCGTGGACCGATAGGAACACGGCGTGACATTATTATTGTTATTATTATTCTGGGGTCACATCTTTCCATAGATGCATATATATATATATATATATGAGAGGGTCGCTCTGATCTGCGTGGTGTTTACTAGGTGGTATTGGCTGTGGTCATTTTTTTGCTTAGCCGTTGTCACTTGGATTTCCCCAAACCAAAGTGGCAAGTGTTTCTCTGTGATGTGTGTGTCTTTGCTTCTTGCACTTTTTGCGTGGTGTTTCAAGGAGATAACGAGGCTTCAGCTTTTTAGTGCCGAACTGTGTTTGTTACTGGATTAAGAAAAAAGGAAAAAAGGAAGAAGAGGTTGTTTTGGGGCCAACATTGCCTTCTTTTTCTGCCATTTTGGGTGCAGGTGGCAGACCCGATCCATTACTTACCAGCCTGTGCCCCCGCATACAGACACACGCATAGAAGTAGATGGAGCGAGGGGGAGGGGTGGGGGGTGTCCTTGACAAGTGGGTCTCGGAGTTGGGTGCTGTAGTGGCTGCTCATTTTGCCCACGACCCGTTGCCGCGCGCTCTCCCATCGCTTTTTTCGCAACTTCAGTCACATTCCCCTCCGCAGGCACGGCGGCTTTTCGCGGCGGTTGATGCGGATGGTGCGTCAGCGGTGGCGGAGGCAACAAGGGTGGCAACACCCGGTGGCGGAGATGCGTTGGTGCGGTCCGTCGCGGTGTACCCGGCCGTGGCGGCGGAGGAAGTTGCGGCGGCGCGTGGAGTTTGCGGCGGCGAGGGCAGGGCCCGCGTCACACATGTCACTTCGGAGACGAGTGGCGGCATCACAGCAAAACCGGCGCCGGCATCATCATTTTCCCCATTCACATCGCCCACACTGTCAGAGGTCAAGACGCAGATGCTTGACGTCACAGAAAGACTGCGGCAAGCACAGAGGCGGCGCGACGACCTAATATTGCAGGAGGACGAGGAGCATGATGTGACACCAGCCATTCTCGAGACCGACAGAGCCGTTGCTGAGTTGGAGGCGCAATTTCTTCGTTTGCGACAAATACAGGCGGCGTTGCTCCAGCGTCCTCCACCAAGTGACTGCAGCAGTCCCGTTTCCAACATGGGTGGGCGGGTTTCATGCGCTTCGGCCTCTTCCGCTGCGGCTGCGTTTTCTGCAACGAATACGCCGAAAATATTCACAACCACACCGGAAGCTGCTTCTGCCTGTTTCAGTTATGTGAATGCGTCATTACCTATTCTTGATCGGAGTGGTGGCGCGTTTGATATGACCAGCGTTGCCCCCGACGCAGTTGCTATGAGGGGGCAACGCCTCGTTCAGTTGGCGGGCGCTGCGGGGGAAGAGAGGGAGAGGAACACAAATGTCATGCTTCACCCTGAACTGCGGGAGGGGACAATACATGAGTCACGGCTCCCCACGGAAAGCGCGCGTCATCGTTTCAGTTGGGAGACGTACGAGCAGGAGTCATCCCACCTGCAGCAGCGGAGCTCCCCTACCAGGGCGTCCGCTGAAATTCCAGTAAATTCTGTTAACCGCTACAGTGGGGAAAATTTTAGCTGGTCGGCGGATTTGCGACGGACCATGATTGATGTGTTTGGCCTTCATCAGTACCGATTTTTGCAGCTGGAGATAATGAATGCATGCATGGATGGCCGTGACGCGTTCGTGTTGCTTCCAACAGGAGGAGGCAAGTCACTTTGCTATCAACTCCCTGCACTGATGCCAAACCCGGCGCAGGTGACCATTGTCATCTCCCCTCTTATCTCTCTCATTCAAGACCAAGTTTACGCCCTCATCGCAAACGACATTCCCGCAATAGCGTTGACGGGTCAGACGTCAGACGCACCGCGGCGGGCCCTCTTTGCAGAGTGGGCATCGGGACGTATTGTCCATACATTGGTTTACGTCACCCCGGAGTATTTTGGAAGAAGCGACCACTTTGTGCAGTGTCTTGTGCACCTCGCCAGCCGTGGCCTGTTGAGCCGCTTCGTCGTGGACGAGGCTCATTGCGTCTCTCAGTGGGGCCATGACTTCCGGCCCGACTACCGTAAGCTGGCCATACTGAAGCAGCACTTTCCCGCCATACCCATATCCGCACTTACAGCAACGGCGACAGACATGGTACAGCAGGACATTATCAGCACACTGAGACTGCAGGATGCGTTGGTCTTTAAGGGCTCCTTTAATCGCCAGAACCTTTCATACTCCGTCCGGAAGGTGGGACGCTCTGTTGGTCAAGTTGTGGTGGACCTCATCAAGCACCGCTTTCCCCCGCGCTCTTGCGGCATTGTCTATTGCCTTTCGCGAAAAGATTGCGAAAATATGGCTGCAGAGCTTGTTGGAGCAGGTATACGTGCCTCGTACTACCACGCTGAAGCAAGTGGGAAAAACGAGAAGCAGGAGAGATGGACAAAGGATGAAATACAGGTCATCTGCGCCACGATTGCCTTTGGGATGGGGATCAACAAGCCGGATGTGCGTTTTGTTATTCATGCAGCGATGCCAAAGTCCATCGAGGGCTACTACCAAGAGAGCGGACGTGCGGGACGAGATGGGCTGCCCTCTGAATGCATCCTACTGTGTTCACCAAGTGACAAACAGCGGCATGAGCAGATGATATATGGCAGCAACGACTGGAAGACCTCCATGTCCTCCCTGTATCGCATGTTGGCGTACACTATAAATGATGTGCACTGCCGCCGGATGCAGCAGCTTGGGTATTTTGGCGAAGATATGGACGAGCACTACTGCCTGAAACAGCCTGAGGGATCTGTGGCGACATGCGACAACTGCGCGAGTAAGAGGAGTGAGCGCTGGGAAACAGGAGAGTTGGACGTTTCTGCGATTGTGATTGATTTGTTCAACATTATTGTGCATCTCGGCTCTCTCACATCGAAGCAACTGATCGGTGTTTACCGTGGCACGGCAGATGTAGGCAAAGCTGTTGAGACACGCATGCGGCAGGCGGGTGCACCACCAGAATACAAGCTAGGTGCGCGTCACACGAAGTTTATTTTGGAGCGTGTCGTGCTTGAGGCTCTTCTTCTTGGAATCTTCAAGGAGCGACTTGAACGGGTGACGGACTTTGTCACGTGTGCGTATCTTGAGGCGGGCGAGGGCGTAGGCATCAAGGTATACCACGATGTGCAGAGCGGCAGACGTCGCGTCGTGCTTGCAGTGCGCGGGGAGAAGAATGCGGCGGCGGTACCGCGGGAGGCGCTTCAAGCTACCACAACAGCAACAAGTGGCAGAGAATGCGGGGCCTGTGTGACGGCTGCCCTAGGATCAAAATGTAAACGGAAACGCGGTGCGACTGCGGCAACTTCCACCACGACTACGCGTTTGACTGTGGAAAGGAATCAGCGACAGACTGTGAAGGGTAAAGGGCGGCGGAGAGAAACCAAGGGGGGTGTTGTCTTGACGGAGTGTGAGCATTCATCATCATCATCATCATCATCGATGTCTTCGTCATCTATCTCGCCCTCCAACGGCTCGCTTGTTGGGTTTGTGACTGAGGGATCGTCCGTCACCTCCCTGTCATCACGCTCCCCACCTTGCAGGAAACTTTGCCGTCGCCACCACTCACACCGGTCATTGTCATCGTACGCTGCGGGGGAAAGCGAAGTGCATTTGACAACAAGCAGCGCAACCGCGCTCTCACTCTCGGCTGAGACGCCACGGAAGGCGGTGATACCGGTGTCCGCCGCGCGGTTGCGGCAGCTTGAGGCAGATCTCCTCACCCAGATGGAGGCGCTCGTGCAGTCCCTCGCGGAGCGCTCAGAGGGCGGGAGGCGGTACAACGTCATGCCAAAGAAAACAATGCAGATGCTCGTGGCGACGCTGGCTGAGCCCGGCTGGGGCTCCGTATCACAGCTGGGTGACCTGGAAGGCCTCGGTAAGAACAAAGTGAGGAAGTTTGGCGCGGATATATTGCGTCTGTACCGGCAGTTCCGGCATGAGCACATTGGCGATGTGAGCGAGCTCACATTGGTGGAGGAGGAGATGCTTCGGCAAACAACAACTGCCATTGCCAACCGTCATCGGCTTTCGCGCGGAGACACGCACGCTGGACAAATCATCGAAGATAAAGACACCCCAGTGAAGGCACATGGCTCTGGATTTCCTGCGCCTCCGCAAGGAATCCGTTTGCTATTGGACTCCGATGGCACGCCACGAAAGCCGACGCATCCAACCACAACACCCACCACCACTACCGCGGCAGCAGCAGATGCCACAATGTTGGCGGTGTCTGCTCCGCTGACAACTCCTGCAACAGGCCATGCACTACCAAAAAAGACATTGTTTAAAGTTCCGAATGGGACTCCGATTGGAAGTGTGCTACCGGAAGCGCCATCGCCAAGACGCCAACAGACGCAGCAAAAC